CTGGGGCTGCCCCGCACGGCTTCTTGGCCACATGTGCCTCGGATGGGGCCAGCCCGGGAAAGGGATTTCCTGGCCACGCTTCTCCCAGGGAGTGGGGTGCCCGGGTGCAGGGTCAATCAGGAAAGAGAGATAAGGGAAGCGAAGCGCAATTGCGTCTCTCTGTCTCTCTCTCTCTGCAAATGGCGGAGGAGGACTGGAGCCACAATAGAAGCCTGAAAGAGCTGCATGCGGCTCCAGAGCCACGGGCTGCCAACCCGTGACCTAGGAGAACAGCAGATTATCTTATTATCAAAATATTGGAAACTGAAGTTTAAATGAATAACCTATTCTAATAAAAACTATTGAAATCCCCAAGCTTTGGATAGAGGTCCCTCAGACTTGGATAGAAATGGATGGAAGCTTGAAATCTGTTAGCACAGAAGTCCCTAACCTTTCAGGGTTAGTGGCCCAGAGGAAGGGGCAGGCACTTTAATGCACGCATGCAAATGGGGGCACATATGCTGCAAACAAGTGCACGTGCAACACTCGGGGCAGCACTAGCACCCCCACTACGCTCGGGGGGCGCTAGGGCCTGCATGAATCTCGCGGTGATTCTAGTGCCTATGCATCCCAAATGGCCACTAGCGCCTGCACAACACTCAGGGCAGGCTAGCGCCTACACAAAACTTGCAGTGGCGCTAGTGCGAGTGGGGGGATGAGTATGTGCGCACACACGTGCACTGGCCAACCACTCACGCAGCTGGTAGTGGGCTGCAGCCCACAAGTTGGGGACCCCTGTGTTAGCACATTAATCTTTAAGCAAGGGGGAATTTACTTAAAGATTTTTGTTTGCAAGATGTCCTTAAACCAGGAGTTACTGTTTTGTTTTTCTTGTGGCAAGAAATTAGTATTGAAATTTGGGGCCCCCAAATTGTCCTTGTTTAGCGGTCACAATTGAAACTGGAAAGGCTTTACTAAGTACTGCAGTCAATATGTACAAAATCCCATGATCATGATAAGTTTAGATCACTTCCCTTTTGATCATTAAGTGAATCACTGGGGTCATTAACTATGTTCATCTTGTGACCATGGCTTGCAATTTTGCTTTCGCGTTCTCCATTAACTCTGCTTGTTAGAAGTCGGTTATAAAGCATGCAAATGGAAATCACATGACTGGAGGATGCTGCAATGATGATGTACCAATTGCAAAGCATCCAAATGGTGATCATGTGACTGTCACAATTATGAATGCAAGAAAAGCTGGTTGGAAAGCTGGGGAGTGGGTTTACACTTCAAATACAGTATGTTTTAAATAGTCACTAAATGAGACAATTGGTACAAAAAGGACTTATGTTTGTCATATCTCATATTGTTGGCCATATTTTTGGTCAATAATGGAGCTAACAAAGAGTTAATTAGCAGTAGCATGTAGACTTATATACCATCCCATATATCTTGACAGCATTCTCTGGGTGGCTTACAATGTCAGCATAGTGCCCCCAAGAATCTGGGTCTTCATTTTACTGACCTCTGAAGGATGGAAGGCTGAGTCAACCTTGAGCTTATCAGGATCGAACTCCTGGCAGTGGGCAGAGTTAGGCTGCAATACTGAATTCTAACCACTGCCACCAGAGCTCCTAATTCCATTTCTAGTTAGAAGCAAGGCTTAGATTTGGGTCTAGTGGAAGGAATGTCTCCTTCATCAGTTTAGTTTTGCTTCGAAGAGAAGAGGAAAGGCTTCATGTCAAAAGTGAAATCTTAAGCTTCATAGATGAGTAAAAGTAGATCTACCAGATTTCTATCCAAATCCCAACTATCCTAGGAATTACATTTGTGTAAAGAACTTTAAGAATTTACCTCAAGTGAACAGTGGAAGAGAGGGAGGCCATTAGGGTATTTGTTTCTTACAGAAAAGGCTGCATGGGAGAAAAAAACATCTCTGTTCTGGAACCTGAACTAAGATGATTTGTAATTCAAGTCCAGGCAGGGTCAACTCAACGCAAAAATGGTTTTTAAACAAATATTTATTCCAGGAATTCTTAACAGAACTTACTTTCTGAAGATGCGTCCGGATTTGTACATTTGTCCATTTTACGTAGGTAAAAACAGTAATTCCTTCATACTAGCTCTAGCGTGGTTGTAGACAATGTCCCTACATGCATTTCCATGCTGATTTCACACAAAGGCATTCTTTCACAAGCTGGCACGTAGCCAGGATATCCTGTGATGAACTTAGTGGCCCCTCCCACTGACTTGATGAATATAGGATTCACTAAAACAGCTAAACTACATTACTCTTAAGGAGACATCGCTTAACCCTTTAAATGCCAAACATTCTAACATGCAGTTCTCACAATGATACATTAACCCTGTAAATGCTATATACAATAACGCAATTCTCAAGTATATACTCTGGCCAGAAGATTGCATAACTGGTCCAGCACAATCTTGGTTTTCTATTAATAGATGAATCAGATTGGAAATAAGAGTCTGATGTTTGCCATTATCAAATTCTAACTTGTTTAGGGTGCACAGTTGCAAATTTGATCATCTAAACTCTGATATTGAGACCAATTAACAATTCCCAAATAAACAACTATTCTTCCCGTCAGGAACGGTGGAAAACATGAGCCCTGTTGTGCTGTTAAGAAATATATAATAGATTGAATGTTGTTTTATAAGAAAATTCACAGACTCATGAGACGTGCATTTTCTTTCTAAATATATCGGTTCTGATATCCTTCATACTCTGGTGATAGGCTGTTCTTGGTTTTTTTAAGGAATAAGCTACTCTTTGATTTTTCCTGGAAATGAATCGAAATCTTTAGGATTATGATGAAATGACATAGAGTTTATCAGTCTTAGTTTTCAAGGCATTTGCAAAACACCTGGATATAATGTTTCAATAATTAATGAAATGATGTGACTCACCAGAGCATTACTGTCTCTTAATATTATTAGGTATAGGATTCTGTAAGCCTGTTCCTACCTCTGACAAATATAACTTGGATTTGGAGTACAACCAAAATGCAACTAGTGTTGTAGATCTTAGAGTAGAATAATATGATACGATACGATACGATACGATATGATGGAATGGAATGGAATGGAGTTGGAAGGGACCTTGGAGGTCTTCTAGTCCAACCCCCTGCGTAGGCAGGAAACCCTAGGGGAACAGCAGGTTTTCTTATTATCAAAATATTGGAAACTGAAGTTTATATGAATAACCTTCTATTCTAATAAAAACTGTAGAAATCCCCAAGCTTTGGATAGAAGTACCTCAGATGTGGATAGAAATGGATGGAAGCTTGAAATCTGTTAGCACAGAAGTCTCTAACCTTTCTGGGTTGGTGGCCCGGAGGGAAAGGAAGGGGCAGGCACTTTTATGCACACATGTAAATGGCGCATATGTTGCAAACAGGGCCACAAGTGCATGTGCAACGCTCGGGGCGGCACTAGCGCCCCCATAATGCTCGGGGCGGTGCTAGGGCCTGCGTCATGTTTGTGGTGATGCGAGCGCCTATGCATCCCAAGTGGCCACTAGCGCCTGCACGACACTCAGGGCAGGCTAGCGCCTACACAAAACTTGCAGTGGCGCTAGTGCGAGTGGGGCGTGAGTGCATGCAGTGCTGATGCGGCCGGGCACTTTGCAAAAAATAAGTGGGTTTTGGGTTGCAGTTTGGTCACTCGGTCTCTAAAAGGTTTGCCATCATTGTTATAGGCTATGCTATTAAGTTCCTGTCCCAAACTCTGGAAATCATTCTGCACAGAAAGTACATCTTTTGGGGACAGATCATTCGTGTCAAGATGTACAATAACATCAACCTCATAATCCTTATTGGCATTCTTGACTATCTTAAAAATACACCTCTTGTCTCTGCTGGCAGTAGCACCTGGCAGACACCTGACCTCTTTCAAAACCTCCATATCCTTTCCTAAATTTGTAACTGAATCACCAACCAGAAGGTAGCTTCTCTTTTTGGATGCCTTGCTCTTTTTGCACGACTAGTGTGTAATACCTGATTCACACTTTACTCTATCCCAAACCAGTTCTTCGTCTTGGACCATGACCCCCTGCTTATTTGAGTTATCATCATCATAACTACCTTGACCTGCCACCTTAGTATTCCTATTAAGATCAGCAAGGGCACTGTATCTGTTGTGCAGGTACACAGTGAAAACTTTGTATTTATGGTTCACAACTTTCATCCTGCCAGATTCCACGGTTGTCCATACTGCGTTTCTCCTGCAGGATCTTTGTGGTAGAGGGGGCTGATAGCATAGTAGCTCAATAGAGCAGAATGGCTAATTTCTGCTTGAAGAGATGGACTAGAGACGCTAGATAAGCAATCTGTCCCTGTAGACTACTAATTTGTTTACAAATAGGACAGTATCCAAATTTGAAAAGAGTACCCCGAAAGACAGCTGCAAAACAAGTATTTCACTGAATTAATCCAGATATTCTGAAATAAAATAAAATTGTAATCACAGATGCACTTACCCTGAATGTACTACTGCTGATTTAGAGTTTTAGTTATATGATTTGTGGGCTGCTACCTCGCTTAACTGAACTTTGTCTCACAGAAAGCAGCTCTTCCCAACAGCCTCTGGGAAATTCAAATGTTATGCAGATGCAACCCGCAGCTCAGCTTCCCAGTGCTTACCTCGCTCCACTGGACTTTATCTCAGTTCCCCTAACCTCATAGCTAACAGATCTTCTCAGCAGCCTCTGGGTAATTCCAGTGCAATGCAGATGCAACCAGTAACTCAGCTTCCAAGTGCTTACCTCGCTTCACTGGACTTTGTCTCAGTCCCCTTCAACTCAGCTAGCAGCTCTTCCCAATAGCCTCTGGAAAATTCAAATGCAATGCATAACCAGCAGCTCCATTTTATTTTTATGTAGACAGACTTAAGAGTCAAGATTCAGATTAATTTTAAAATTAAAGAAAATAATTTGCTATTATGTTTCCAGTGAATAAAACATGCAATTAAAATTATGCTTATGGCTCCCATTTTTCAAGGTTTTTCACATCAGTTGTGGTAAACTTCTTCTAACACTGTATGATAAAAGCTATTGCTTGACTGCTGGAAACTACTTTTTTATTCCACCAGGTAAGTGAACTGATATTTTTCCTATTAGAAAGGGTGAAAATAAAAAGAAATGCAAACATTTAATAAAGTAAATATTTTTATTTTTTTAGTAATAATATCATACAGGTAGTCCTTGACTTACAACCATTCATTTAGTGACCAATTGGAGTTACTGTATAAGGGCAACAAAAAGCATTACTTATGACTGTTTTTTACACAATCATTGCAGAATCTTCATGTTCACATGATCAAAATTCCAGCACTTGGCAACTGGCATGTATTTATTATGTTTGCAGTGCCTTGGGGTCATGTGATCACTTTCTGTGCCCTTCTGACAAGTAAAGTCAATGGGAAAGCCAGATTTACTTAACAACCATGTTACTAACATAACAATTACAGTGATTCACTTAACAGCTGTGGCAAGAAAAATTGTAAAATGGAGCAAAATTTACTTAATAACTGTCTTAGCAATGGAAATTTTGGACTCAAATGTTGTAAGTCAAAGACTACCTGCATTATTTTTGTTATGCATATTTGTCTGATTAAGAAGGATGGCTTCTGTTCATAAAAAACCACAAGTAGCTATTTGTTTTTTCCAATTCTTTTTGGATCTTGAACCAAGAGAAAGATGAATGCTTTCTTGCTAAAGGGTATGTACATGCTCTCTGTCTCTTCACACAAGACATGGGAACAGGTACAATTAAAATTTCTAGTCATTTCTTGAAAATGTACAAGGAATCTCATCTAAAATGTTTTGAATTGGTTGTGTTTTAACAGAAAAACATCTTAAAAGTTGTTCTTTGGAAAGTTTAGGTGTTTGAACAATTTGTGAGTGTTCCAATCAGAGAAAGCAATAGGAACAAAAAACAAAGCTGGTTGTTTTTTTAAAATATTTTTTTCCTTATTTTTGACTGTTAGGCCATTAGAGTAGATACTGAAGTAGTCCATTCCATCTGCTGTAAGTCTGTTTATTTAAAAGAAATCTACTGAAAAATATTTTTAGGACAGTGTTACGCTTTGGATTTACGTGGGAGGTAAACAATCCATATTTGTATCTCTTTAAATCAGTAATTCTTTTGCAGGATAATGGATCAGTTGTTTCTCATCACAAGTTCTTCAAGTCAGACTATTCAAAATTTTATAAGTTTCAGTCTAACAGATGACTTATGTTGCTTAGAGTATTGTTCTGTTAGAACACAACCAACCTCAGAACACTACAAATGAAATTAATTTGTTCCAGACGTAAAACAAATTTTGCACAAATTTATGATCTGATTGTACTTCAAGAACAATTTCATTAACAATTTAGAATGGAGCAGAGTTTTTATATATAGTTTGCTGAGAAAAGATATAACTGTTTTAAAGAGTTGCAGAAAGATGCTATATGAATGAGAATTGCTATTCATTCTTGCCATCACACAAAATTTGTATCACAATGCCCCTAGGCTTTGCTCTACCTGACAATGTCTGCTCACAGCTGGCATTAGGGAAGACCTGCAGTGCTATGTCTAGACATGGAATGACCTTAGTCAATTGGGTTTGCATCTCAAGATTGAGTATCTAGAAACTAGCCTGAATACCTCCATCCAGGTCAGCAGTGACGAAAACAAACTTCTATCACTTAAGATCCCATCTGCAAAATATAGTAGCATTAATGAAGTAATGCGCACAATGGTGAATGCAGCGTGGTTCTTGTAGAAATCATTGGATTGCTCTGTGATAGGCGTATGCCAATTCACCAAAAGTATAAAATGATGGTCTGTTCATAGATCTATATGCTGGTGAATGGTGGTCAACCCCCAAAAGTGCTAAGCATGGGGATATGAAGGCTCATTGGTCATTAGGTGTTTCCTTTCTTGACCATTTCAGCGATGATATGGTTTGGCAGCAGATAGGCATTGCACCAATAGCAGAAACTGGGAAAAATGTCCATAATGGTACAACCATATTCTACCAGAAGCATCCCATATTGTTGCCTGCACTGCCTACCCCTTTAATATCCATGGCAAATGCCTGTACAGAAGATCAAAGATGGTAGGACACAACACAGAAATGAAACTCATCCTGTTAGACCAGCCAGTGGCTGTGTTTGAATCATGTGGAATGGTATTGATAAAAAAATTGGACTCTACATCTGCGGGAAAATTCTAGGAAGAAGAGAGATCTGAAGTGTATACTCTAAGCTTTCTTTGGAAGCATCTTTTTGGAACCAAACCCAAACCATTGCACAGCTCTATTAACTTTTTTTTTTTTTTTTTTTTTTTTTTAA